CATAAAGTCTAAAAGTACATTGGTTATTATAAGACATTTCGAGATTAGGAAATCAATGATCTAAGTTGAACAACACAACTGTTGAAATCCTATTCATGAAGGGAGTGACAGACTAGCCACTTTCTCCTTTTATATGCAAAGGTCAGTTTGAAAGTATTTTATTACAACTGCTTCCAAGAAGCACGATAATCCAGACGTTTCCTACACGTTTGTTGTCTTAAAAGCACTAAAAGTCTCACTTTGTTGTTCTCTGTCTATGAGTTGTCTGGCAATTGTACTGGTTAAAACGCTATTTCTTTTACAGTAGAGATGTGCTAGGAGAACCAGATGGACGCCCTTTTTCTCATTCCTTCTTAACTAATACAAATGCTTGTGAACTCATAAATACAGTTGGCAGTGACATGAGAAGAAAAATGATCTAATTTCGACTGGTTCAGCAAGCAGGTACTATTGTATACTGGTACAAGTTTAGCTCCAGGAAAGCTGTTTCTCAGTGCTCATTTGTTTCCTGCATCTTTTCACTTGGATATTACATTTCCCTTGAATGTAAGCTGTATAAAAAGCTTCTTCTGCTCCATAGTTAGGTGTTTATTTCTCTCGATCTGTTCTTTCAAATAATTCATGATATATCTCATAGGATATTCATTCTCTCGGAGACACGTCTCAATAAGTAGCGATTTCCTAATTTTGAAATGTCTTGCCTCCTGATAAGCGTTGTTCTTTAAGACTATATACAGATGAAGAGTACTCGTGGAATAAAATCGTGACATCATTTTCTTCAGCAAATTTCATACTTTCGGCTTCGTCCAAATATATCGATGCATCTGTTTCTGATAACTGTTCATCTGTTTGACTTAGAGATCATAAATCATCACGATACATAAGTTTGAACAAGTAAATGGAGCAACACAGTCCATGTTCCATAGAACGAGTCCTAAGTTATGACAAGGTTAACTGAATTGAATGATAAATTGAATGAAGAGAATATGATATAGACTAAAGGTCTGATAATGACAATTATGAACCTCGCCTATGTAACTAGTTCACTAGTTACTAGCCGGTCCTAAGTCCGGATAAAGAGGGACGGACAAGCATAGGGCTAGCAACCCCACACCAGAAAACCAATCCAATCGCTAAACAAACTTCAAAGCACACAAAATATATATTTTAAAAAATAATAATCTTATTCCTCACTGCAATCGGAGAAACGAAATGACGTCGGTTGGTGAAAGCCTTCAGGAAGCCAATTGGCCGATGTGTCTTCTCTCTCTCGATTGAAGGAAAAATAAGAATGTGAACATGGAATATCCGCACAATGTTTGAACCTAACAAGGCAGCCCAGATCGCAAAAGAGATGAGAAGGTATAGCATAGAAGTAGCAAGAATCTGTGAGGAATCTGTAGATGGAATGGAAGTAGACTCTCGAAACTGTCAACTGGAGAGTCAATAATCTACTCTGATATCGTTACCCAGACGACAACCACGAGCACACTGAGTTTTCGAGTGGCCATCATGATACCCTCTCCCAAGAGCATCGAAGGCTCACTGTCATGCAGTGGGAACCAATCTCCTCCTCCCACAGAATCACGATCATGACAGCAAGAAGGAAAGTCACAATCATACAATGCTACGCTACACACCTACAAATAATGCGGATGAAGAGAAGAAGGTGGGATTCCACAGACAATTGCAATCAGTAATGGACAAGACCGCACTCCAGTTGGCGACATCAGAATTCATTCTAATGGGTAGGGTGGCATGAATGCGAAACTGGGAGTGGACAACACAGGAAGAGAAGTCATCCATCATGGGTCGAGAAGCACTCGGTGAAATGAACGAGAATGGAGAACTGTTTGCAGACTTCTGTGCATTCAACGATTTGGTGATTGGAGGTGGTGTGAACAAACACAAGGATATTCACAAGACAGCGATATGGATTACGCCATTCACCAGATGGACACACTGCACTAAAAATCAGATCGACTTCATCCCAATGTGAAGAAGGTGAGACGCAGCCTACTGAACATGAGATCAGATGAAGACGGGGAGCAGCTGTAGGTGCACACCACTCACTATCTAGTGCAAGGAACCTCTTTTCAAAATCAAATTAAAGGCCTTCAGAGAAGCTGTTGATAGATCAAAGTCCAAGTTCAACACCGAGAACAGAAACTAACTGAAGAACGAAACTACAAAGGACATTTTCACGTCATTCATCAGGACAAAATGGGATGTATTAAGCAGCATCCTTGAAGAAACCTGTGTGAATGAACACTGGAACCACAAACATTTATCAATTTCATTTAACAGCTATATGAAGAAGCCACATGCAGAGTGACTCACTATGGGGATCTCAGTGACACTTTTGAAGTGAAGACAGGAGTAAGACAAGACTGCTAACTATCACCAAAGCTCTCCCTGAATATCGTCGATCGCACTGGACTGCAGCACTCAAAAAACTGTGACGAGCGAGAAGATGGGCATATACTGTTTGCCAATGAAAAGACCTTAGAAGATTTGGATCTCACCGATGATGGCTTATACCTAATGTTTTGTTGCACAAACCAACAAGTTCGCAGAAGAGGCTAGGCAGCGAAGACGGGACTTCAAATGAATGCAGAGAGGAGTAGACAGAAGTGGTGAAGATACCCAATCAACAACAACATCAACAGCAATAACAACAAGCACCAATCACCATCAATGGGACTAATCTAAAGGAGGTAGTCTCTTTCACCTACCTATCTAGGCAGCATCGTTTCAACTACAGGTGGTGGTGTCACAGGGGATGACGTTGAAGCAAGGATCTGTAAGACAGCAGGATAGGCCTTCCTTCATCATTCTGAAATCACTGTGGAGATCTACTGCACTCAGCATAAAGAACAACATCTGGATTTTCAACACCAATGTCAAGTCAGTCCTTCTATATGATGGTTCAAAAACTTGGCGCGTCACGAAAACCACTTCCAACAAACTACAGACATTCATCAGCAGCTGCTTACGCTCACTCGATACTGAAGATCGGATGGCCAGAAAGAATAAGAATAAGCAACAAGAAACTCTGGCTGGCAACGAAACAATCAAGAACCTATTACCCAACAAATATGCAGAAGAAAGTGGAGGTGGACGTGGATTGGGCATACAGTGAGAAAGCCTACTGGGGACATCACGTTCCAGGCCAGTTACTCGAGTGGAATCCAAAGGGAAAACGACGAGTTGGGCGTCACAGCTCAGAGTCACATGGAGGAGATCATGTGAGGAAGAAATGAAAGCTTATAAGCAGTCGTCGTCGTTTTCCCTTTGGATTCCACTCGAGTAACTGGCCTGGAACGTGATGTCCCCAGTAGGCTTTCTCACTGTATGCCCAATCCACGTCCACCTCCACTTTCTTCTGCATATTTGTTGGGTAATAGGTTCTTGATTGTTTCGTTGCCAGCCAGAGTTTCTTGTTGCTTATTCTTATTCTTTCTGGCCATCCGATCTTCAGTATCGAGTGAGCGTAAGCAGCTGCTGATGAATGTCTGTAGTTTGTTGGAAGTGGTTTTCGTGACGCGCCAAGTTTTTGAACCATCATATAGAAGGACTGACTTGACATTGGTGTTGAAAATCCAGATGTTGTTCTTTATGCTGAGTGCAGTAGATCTCCACAGTGATTTCAGAATGATGAAGGAAGGCCTATCCTGCTGTCTTACAGATCCTTGCTTCAACGTCATCCCCTGTGACACCACCACCTGTAGTTGAAACGATGCTGCCTAGATAGGTAGGTGAAAGAGACTACCTCCTTTAGATTAGTCCCATTGATGGTGATTGGTGCTTGTTGTTATTGCTGTTGATGTTGTTGTTGATTGGGTATCTTCACCACTTCTGTCTACTCCTCTCTGCATTCATTTGAAGTCCCGTCTTCGCTGCCTAGCCTCTTCTGCGAACTTGTTGGTTTGTGCAACAAAACATTAGGCATAAGCCATCATCGGTGAGATCCAAATCTTCTAAGGTCTTTTCATTGGCAAACAGTATATGCCCATCTTCTCGCTCCTCAGGGTTTGCTACGTGATCCAGTCGACCACAATCAGGAGGATGGTCGGTGATACCTTCACTGATGAAACTATATTTTCCATCGAAAGTTCTACTCCAGTTAATAACACTGAACTGGTTCAGTATCCACAATCAACGACACATTGACGAATACCTATGACAATATTATTTTTCTTCATACTTTATTTATTTCTCTATTTTCATGGAAAAACAATTTTTGATGGGAACAATAAACAAATAAACGTCTTGGCAGCAGAATACTCAAAACTATTGATTTATTCTTTAAAATAGAAGAATAATGATTAGTCAGGAAAAGTTTAATCACTCACTCCTGAAAGAGATTTTCTCGTTTCTTTTTCATTAGTGGATGAACAAACACGTCTCATATTGCTGAAAACAGAATAGATGAACTCCTCAGAGTTCACATTTCCCAAATTGAAGAGGAAGTTGTAACAGTTTATATCCATTCAAGTATGGAATACAAACATTTTGGCATAAAATGTGCCATCTTTAACTTGGGCAAATGATAATTTTGAAAGGAAATCGATTCCAGTGGTTAGGTAACTCAATAAAACAAAAGGTGGATAGGCAGACAGAATTAACAATTGGAAAGTTGGGACATGCCTCAGTTTCATTTTACTTAGAATCTAGAGTTGTTTGTACATAATATACTCAGTTACTGTGCATACATATACAGACAAATAGATAGATGGATATGCGGTTGGTTATAAATGGGGAGATTAGAAAAAAGCTAACTCACGTGACCTAAATAATCCGAAAAATAATATCCGACCAATCCGTTTACTCAATGTGTAGGCGTAACCCTTTCTCTGTATTTGGCCAGCTATACAACAATGTCATTGATTAGCTCAGAACCTGATTACAGGTAACGTTTCAAAGGAGTAGTATTATGTATATGTGTAGATATATACATACATAGAGCTGTTCGTTAGTAGAACAGACAAACAAATATAGGAAGATGTGGAGGTAGGAGATTCTCTTCAGCATAAGTATCTTCTCAGTTAGTTATTTCATATTACTACACTACTGCTACTATTACTGTATACTGTCTTATTAGACATCATGAAGAATTGGATATTTTAGGAAAACTAATTGACGACAAAGTAATGGCAATGACCACATAACTAGAACATGAACTAGACAGCTATAGAAGAGAGATATTCATATCATGTACAGAAGTGGTTTTCATCGAGAGATCCATAATACTGGCCATCGGTTTAACTTTATGCAACAAGGACAACGGTGGTTATAATGAGAATGATGAGCAGTTAGGATTTTTCAAGAAATCAAATAATATGGGGAGTGTTTTATCAACATTCACTCCAGAAGACCAAGTCCACATTCCTGTACCTACACGAAGACAAACACTAAGTGATATACATAAAACAAAAGATATTAAACTTAGTCTTTCATCAGCAACACATGATACAGCCTACCAATACACTGATCTATGTGAATCATCAAAGAAAAAGTGGAATTTCAATCAGATTGATGAAGCATTACTAGTTCCAAAACATTATGAACATCTTTGTGGCAACACCGGTACACAAATGAGTAAAAACGTCAATTCTACAAATATGTTCAACTTGAAAAGGTTGATATTCCCCAGTTTATCACGTAAAACAAAAATCTCTGATAGTAATGGAGTAATGCCAAGTGTGAGAACATTGAATGATAGAATGCACAGGTTATCAGTGAATGCCGACCGGGTGAATACTGGTGCTACCAGAAACGGTACTACCAAGAAGTTCTTAGACGATTCAACGAGTCATTCAACAACTGAAATCCCAGTGTACTACTACCAACAACAAAAACAACACCAACAAGAAATACAAGACGAAGAAGATTCGGCAAAGGCGAATATACCTCTAGAAAACTATCGACTAAACTCCACATCCTCTTCATCATATTGTGACACATCAAGTTCTAAAGGCGTTTGTCGTACACAATCATCGGGAATAACACAAAACTCTTATTGTCCGGAATCTAGAGATGTTATAAATGATAATGTGAATCGGGATTATCATTCCTCTAGTCAAAAGTCACCAATCGATTTGAATGTGTCCATTCATCAACAAAGAGATCCTCAAATTTATCAAGACACTGGTGGACAGCATAGACAATTATCTGAACCAAGTTCACGGTTAAAGCATCGTTATTCACATTGTTTATCAACAGATTTTAGTCGAAAGTGTTGTGCTACACACCGTCATCCTCCTGCTTCTCCTCTTCCTCCTCATCACCATCATAACCATCATCATGACAATAATGTCAGTATTAATAATCATGGTAATACTATATCTTACACACCTAGCCTTACTGATTTAAGATGGGCTATGCGGTATAAAGCGCCGTATACAAAAGAATCAAGTGAACAGTTGTGTGTAAATAATTCACCGTATTCTTTTGTGGAAAATTACTCTGGGGGACAAACTTGTCACAATAATAGTTCTATTTATATGCCAACATCAACATTATCAGGAAGTGTATCGACATATGCTGAAGTATTGACATCACCAGTGGATTCTTATACTACACAACATCATAATTATTCTCATTATCAGAATATTGAAATGTTAAGAGAACATACACCGTGGAATGTAACTGATACCTCACCTGGTGCACATAGTTGTTCCTATGAAATACCATTCTTTGTAAACTGCAATCATGAAAATAAGACAATCAGAAGGGATTCCTCTTTGTTGACATCTAAGGGTAATCCTGTTCCACGTTGTTTTCATCCATTTCCTTCTGTTCCTTCTTCGGTACACCCTGAAATTAGTAAAACTTTTAATTCATCTTACACAGACAAGTTTTTCTCACCGGAATTGAATGAAACATATAAAAATAATAATGATAATCTACACTACAGTCAACAAACATACTTAAATGAATCTGGTGTTCACTTTTCAAGTAAATTTGGTCGACGTTTAACAGAATTTGGTACAGATTCAATTTTCCCTGCATCACCAATGCATGTACAGCGCAAAGGGGGCACTGGGTTTGAAAAATACCGCAATATTACAAAGTCAATATCATGTTATGCTCTGAAACTTTTCACTCATCACTATAATAATAATAATGACAATAATAGTAGCATCAGCAATAATAATTCTTGCCAGCAAAAGTGTAAAAATGTTTCTGTTGAGTCAGGAGCGGTGACCAAATCCACCTTTCCAACAAATGATATAGCATATGATAGAAAGATGTTCAAACTTCGTACTGATAGAAAAATGAGTGATCGTTTGAAGAAGAACTCTTCTATTCGAGATATTGAAACGCTAAAAGAATATCATCAACAAACTGTTCCTATCATTCCTTCTAACATCATGACGACAACAGTAACGATAACAACGGTATCATCAGTAAATACCAGTCAAAATAATTCATTTTCACAATATAGAAATAGTGATATTAAGTTAAATGATCGTCTTCGATGTTCTAATCACCGAAAAAGTGTAGGTAAAACCAGTGGGATTTACGGATTATTTGAAAGTTTAAAATCTGATCATAAAGTTGACAAATATCGTAATTTTGCGTGCATAAAAAATTCGAGTGGAATACAGAAAGGTTGGAGACGATCTGATATTCAAGAAGAACAACATCAATTAGGCCGGGGCTATTCCCTAAGACCTACTGTTGGTGCTCCTGTTCACCCATCTACGGTTGAAACAACAACATCTAATGCTTACAACCTGTTTCAGCAGCCAATATTTAAGGCAAGTACAGGTGAACTTTTAAAATATCTTTCATTTTTTATTGTCGCACGTGTACAGTACAATTTAATAGAAAATTCAAATCGTCTACGCAATTCTGATTTACGTGGTATACAACCAGCAATCATTGTTGCATGGATTCGAGCTATTGATCGTGCATTATTAATACAAGGTTGGTCTGAAGTGGCATTCATCAATCCAACTCATGTTGTCTTCTTGTATATGATGCTTAGAAGTTTCATAGGGAATGGGGATATACACACAGAACGTGAACTGCATACAATTATTATGGCATGTCTTTATTTAGCTTACTCTTATATTGGTAATGAGATTAGTTATCCTTTAAGACCGTTTCTTATAGCTGAAGCAAATCAATATATGGCTCATTCAGAAGGTGGAAATAAAAAATTACTGTCCAATACAGAACATACGTTAACATCGACAAATGGTATAGAGAGTTTTTTAAAATCTAAGGTTATTGATGAAGTTCGCAATCGTTTCTGGCAATATGTTATACGTATAATAAATGAAAAATCTTCAGAAATGCTTCGTATCAATGCTGATCCAATATTGTTTACACAAATGTTTAAAGAGTTGACTTCATATGAAAATGTTGTTATTGCTATGAAATTGTCATCATCATCATCATCATCATCATCATCATCATCAAATCGTAACCATAACAACAATAGCAATAACAGTAACAATCGATTATAAAAAACAGAGAAAAAAGGCAACGAAGTAAGCGAAATTTATTTTGTAGTTAAATTTAATTTGATTTTTTTAACATAAATATTCCTTATTGGCTTCTCATGATTGAACTAAAAAGATATCAGTACCCCGTCAGAACTACTCAATGTGTGATCATCTATACACGTACATCTACTCATACACTCAACTAAGAAATTACGGGTAAGACGTCGAGTAGATCCTTATGAGCATAAAGTTGTGTAAGTGCGTATTACGTCTGCAAACATATATATATATATATATATATATATATATATATATATATATATATATATATATATATATATATATATATACAGAATTCAAGTCTTTCATTCATAGAAAAACATTTCTTCATTTCGTGATAATATTTTATTCTATTTTTCTCGTTTTGCTTTGTTCTTTGCACAGTTTCATTTGCTTTACTCAGAAGTTTTATTGAGATCATTTTGTTTTGTTTATCAAATTGTATTTATTCATCCGTTTCAAACAATTAAGAAACGAAACTCGATGTGAAAATGATGAAGAGAATAAGATACAAGAAAAACTGTTCTTCATTTTCTTGATAAACATTAAACTTAAAAGAGTTTTCATTTTGCCTTTTCTTTCCATTTCAATTTCAAGTCCTATATATATTAATTTGTCTATCATGATATAAACTATTCCATAGTTATAACTTATTGGTAGTAATGCATCTGTTCATAATTATTTCGCTACCTCAGTAATAAGTAAAAGTAGATTATGTGCTGAACATTTTACTTGGAAAGTGTAAATTAGAGACTATTAAGTTTCTTTGTGAGTTCCCATTTGTACTCTTCTGTTTCTTTTTAGTTCTGATGTGCATTCTGGACTTTTTGTTTAATATTTTTCTGAATCACCTTCAAGTTGTCCTTGAAAATGATACTGATAAACAATGTTAACAAATTAAGCACAGTGTGATCGCAATTAATGGTTATAATACATAGATTTATAAAGTGAAACGATTATGATTATTCGTGAAACTGTTGGAAAAAATTCTATATTTCTATTCGCTTATAGTTCATATTACATAATACTCATTTCGATAATTATTTGTTAATGAGAGACCAGTATAACTGCATTCAAGTTGACCTTGACGGCTTTAGATTTTTGAGCTGGATTGTTTAACTGTGAAGCTTTTATTGTTGTCCTAACCAGGAGAATAGTACGAATTTCAAAAAACATAACACTAACATGAGGCTTTACTGCTGACACATGACTAACGTAATTGTACATCAGAACAAGGCTGTACACAACTGGTTCTTTTACTATTGATCATGTGGTCATAAAGAAAGTTACTCACGCTGAAACTCATTAGAACAAGAAGTTTCTCTTTTTTTACAGTCTGTACTCAAAGTGCTTTATGAAACGACAAAGAAAGCTTTTCAAACAATAAACCATCAAGTTCAAAGTATACAAAATACCGTCGTTCCTCAAGGTTCATAAACCCTTTATCGTTGATGATTGTTTACCTGTCAGACATATGTGTATTAAAAAGTCGTGATTTAGGTTGTGTAACTCTTCCAAATATGCGTCTTTTAAACAGGCCATCACAAAAGCCTTTCAAATAGATCATCGGGTATTAGGACCGTTTCGGCATGCCGAAATGACAGCAACTGATGATGTTCAATGATCTAAACTTTAAAATAAACTAAGCGGACGTTTAGTATTAGTCATTACTGTACCATAACTAATGTTAATTAGGTTCCTATGCCTCCATTTGAAAGATAACCTGTAGATAGCAAAAATATCGTTTCAGAGGACTGTGTACTACTGTAGTGGACGTTGCTGACCAAAATGGATATAAGTAGTGTATGTTGAGAGGGCGACAGAAATCATAGGCAATTACCAGCAATGGGTAAGGATTCAGCCCCGAGAAACGCAAGAGACAATGTGGGCGTATCAAAAGCAAATCAATATAGAAGCAGAAGAGGAGATGAAGTACATTATGCAAAAGACTGTCTTAGTGCAAGATGTCCCATATTTGATGACTACTGTACAAGATGTCAATAATAAACATTCCTTCCTTCATCTGTCTTATCATTTTCTAAAATTGGTGTCTCTGCTTCTGAATTTAATGAAGATTCCGTAGCCTGCAGTGTTCAAAAGTGGAGACATTATGGTCTTCCTCAGGGACTTTGAGTCGGTCACGGAGCTGGTAGGTATCCGGGATCCAGCAGAGAAGGTCGTGGTGCTTGGCTTGTTGCTGAGGGGATGAGCGAAAGTGGCATATGACGACTTGGAGCGTAGGGATAGGAAAGGAACTTGGCAGAGAGTGGCTTAACAGCTGGAGGCGGAGTTTGATAGCCCAGTGTACAGGGAGACGGCAATGCAGCAGTTCCGGAGTACGAAACTTGGAATAGACGAAGGAAGAAATGCTTTTTATTGACATCTCATTAGGAACAACATCATTAATCTGGGCACACGTACATCCAACTGACGAATCCAAAGTGGGACGAAATGTGCGTCCTGGATTCCAGTGGTTTCGGCCAAGTAGACTACAATATGATGAACATGGGGGCACTATCAGAGCATCCGCATAGCAGTCTACCTAACAACAGAGGTCGAGCAACTAGATGCAACATAGCAACGGGAAATTAAAAGTATCAATAAACGACTGTGTACCATTCCACAATGTTTAGTATCCAACGCGAAGAGGCGATTGTTTAATGAGACTATCTTTCTGAATGCGGCATCATGATGACTCCAATTGATGGGAGCTAACTGGAAGTATGGATGAAAAGTTTAGATGACCTCCAGTTTACTAATGTGGTCACGCTAAGCAGAGATACTGATAACATATGGTCTTATCAATGCCAGACAGGCTTATTATCTCTCAACTTCAAACGTTTACTTCGTAAAGTGTTTCTACCTTTACCTGACTAGTATGATAATACGCACTGCATCCCTGAGATGAATTACATGAGATAGGTTCGTGAGTGAAACAGGCTGATCATGTAGACTGAAAGCTTGTTTTGGCTCCCCCGTATCTGCAGGCCCTCATTTTTCATAGTTATTACGTTTGAATGGCGTTTTAAGGACCTAACTAAATACTGCTGCTTTATTTTGTATGCCTTTTGAAAGTGGAAATATGATATCTGCAGACATTGGGTAACTTTGAAGGCCACTCTGGGAACTGCTGCAATAACCAAGGAGCTTTATATATTCCGGCTAGAAAGATAGCTTTTTATAGAATATAGAAGCCTGATTGGTTATCTCAGCAGTTGTTAGGGTGACATTTAGAGTCGCTCACTTTAAAGGCCACTAAGTTAATTGACACGATACTTAAGTGTACTTTGTTCATCATTAGATGTTTGATCAGAACAACATGAAGATTTTCGATTATTTGTATTCATGTGCAGCGGGCATTTTCAACCTTCCGAACACTTATGTTACTTAAGAGACATGAAATTGTATCGCTCTGTGCTGAAGTTAGAAAGTTTACTACCAAACTATCCATTCCACTTTATGAATATTTCAGGTGAGACTGTTGACTTGCATTTATGTTTAGAAGAAAAGAGAATAAAACGTTAAATAATAATATCTACATAAATCAAAAAAGTTGAGTTTCATATAAAATAAGTCTGTCTGATATAGCACATATTCCTATGAAATGGTAGGGAATATTTGTAGTTCAAGTAAATGACCTTGATTATATTGTTCTCTGAATTGGGTTGTTTATTTGTGGACTTTCATCGTTTTTCTAGACGAAATCATCAGTGTTAACTTCATTGTGAAGTGAGCTGTCAATATCTCTCTGTGGGTAACTTAGTTGCTTAACATGACCAACTGGTTTGTGATTGGTTATTTCCTTTGATTGTTGTATCACTGACTGAATAGATTTTCCTGTTGGCTATTCCTGTGCTTCACCTTTGACCTTTCTGTTGTTTATCATTTTTTTCATTGGTTGATAGATTGGGTCAATGTCTATACACCTGTTGATTGTTGACTGACTGATCTGAATGCCTAGCTTCTAGGAATTCTCTCATATTCCCTATGTTTCCCTTTTCTGTCCAAAATTTCTACATTGTCAAAATCGAATTCATGTTATTCACGTGTATTGAAATGAGTGATGAAATGTTATATGTGACGTTTAATGGCCAATTGGTGTTCATGTAGACGAAGGTGAAGAACGCGTCCACTTTGTCCAGTCTAGTGTTCACCACAATTCTACAGTTGATCTTGTAAATGATGTTTGGTCCTTCTTCTTTGACTGTTGCATCCTTTGGTCTGCAAATAGTGTTTGGAGGGAATTTGTTGGCTTATTAGCCATATCAGTTCCAAGTAGTCTCAGTAATCTTGTCGTGATTTTGATATATTCTTTATGTACGGTAGGATCGTGAGTTTGTTGATTGCTGTCGATGACTTTGTATTTGATGATATACGGATAGGCATCTTTTAATAAAATTTCATGGGTAGCCGTTCTTCTTTAGGATAAACATGAAGTAGTTTCCTTCGTTTCTCTGTGAAGTTGTTGTATTGTAGTGTGTTCTTGCTCTTTTAAACAGAATCTGCACGTAACTAGTTTTGTGCTTTGTTGGATTGTCACTACTTTAATTAAGAATTTGATCAGTGTACTCTGGCTTCCTGTACACTTTAGTTTCCAGATTCCCGGCATTTGTTCTACAGACTAAAATATCCAGGAATGGGGGTTAGTTGTCCGACTGCTTGAAAGTATAGTGTAGGCCAGATTGTTTCAAATTCTTCACTGTTAAACCTATGATGAATACTAGATGCAATATCCCGACCTCAGTCCATTTAAAATAGTGAACAAACAAAAAAAGCTAACTGACTAATATTCTCAGAGGCAGTTTTTATCAGAAGAATTCAACCGAAATTATGTATTCAAAAAGTGACAGCTGTTGACCTCCAACTTACTTGGTGGTTATTGATTTATTTTCTTATTCAACATAAACTCTTCCAAACTTTTCTCAATACATAAATTTCAATTTCAACATGTCCCGTTTACAACTTATTGTACAACCGATTTCTACTTTATCCCCACAGTTTCACTGTTTGACTTAAATCAGTTTGATATCATGTCACTTTCAATCTCTAACTTTGTGTTTACATTCTCAGCTTAACTATTCTATGCTTATATCTATCACATGTAACAGGGTGACTAGATGAACACTAAATAACTTTGATTTCAGTATCAGTGATTTATTTTATTCAGATTTCCCTAACCTGTATCAATTCTTTCATTGTCCTTCACCAATGAACCA